ATCCGATCCGGACGTCCGAATCCGGCCGTTGATTATCTTGTGGTCGGTTTCGGACGTCCTAATCCGATCACAATCCGATAAATGCCAATTGATCCCGCTTGATTCATCGAATTTTTTATAATTTTTCAACTATGATAGTTTCACCCAGGGGAAATTTAAGCTAAGAAATTTAAGTAATATGGTTTGTGAATTTCCAATAACTTTTTTAAAATATTGTGCGTCTTCGCCCATGTTTGCTAAAAAAAATGTTCATTCCACCCTGAACCACCGCGTTTATCAAAAATTGACCGTTTTTTTAAAATTGTTGCTCATTTTCTTGGTAGACATGTAGTAGCTGATATTTATAATTAAACTTTAATGTTTTCTCTTTTTAGGTCATTGGTCTTCAGAATGATCGCCTTTAATGATCAATTCGAGAAATTCGTACAAGAGCGACGCAGTCGGGCTTTCCCGTCTAATGCAGGTTATGTGAAGATGATCGAAACACTTCAATCAACATCAGTAAATTGGAAATTAACTGAAGAACGAAATCTTCACCGGCGTTTCTCTCTATTCAGCGAAAACGGGACAATAATTCTTCTGCACCATGGTGATGGAGCCAAGAAAAACGACGGGAAGAAAGTCATCAAGCGTGAGGACCTCTATGAATTGCTTCGACAGAAACATTCAGCACTTGGACACGCTGGAATCGGTTTAATGTGGAAAGCCCTCCAAAATTATTATGGGATACCGAAAAAAGTGCTGAAGATTTTCGTCGATCAATGCGAGGAATGTCAATTGAAGAAGAAGCTTCCAAATAAAGGAATAGTTGTGAAGCCGATCATTTCTAGCCACCAAAACCAGCGATGTCAAGTTGATTTGATCGACATGCAAAGTGCTCCAGATGGCGATTACAACTTTATTTTCGTTTACCAGGTAGATCATTTTTTTTGGTTTTTCAAGTTTAGCCTTGTTTATTTATGTTAATACTTCTTATTTTAGGATCACCTCACAAAATTCGTCTCGTTGAGGGCTCTGCGGACAAAAACGGCAAAAGAAATAGTCGAAAACATCGTATCGATTTTTGGAACCTTTGGCCCTCCACAAATTCTTCAGACAGGTAAGTTATTTTTAAAATAAATCGGAATTTTTCATAAAATTTATTGCATTTTTGCATTTTTTGATAGGGCTATAGGAGGGGGGGGGGGGGGTAAAATAAAAACTATGGCACCTTTTTTATTTTTGCTTTTAGACAATGGCAGAGAGTTTGCAAATAAACTCTTGGAAGAAGCTGTCGCTCAATGGCCTGGTTGCAAGATCGTTCACGGGAAACCGCGCCATTCGCAATCACAAGGAAGTGTAGAGCGAGCAAACGCGGATATCGAGGTTAGTTTGGCTGCTCATAAAAAATACTTGTGGTCGTTTAGGATATCCTGAGCGTTCATCAAAGAGAAACAAAAACTACCGAGTGGGCCCGATTTTTGCCCTTGATTCAATATCGTAAAAACATCAGGTAACTTTAGTTTTTTTGGAACTTTAAATTTTGTCGATAGATATCATTCCGGTATTGGACGTAGCCATATGTTGCAATGTTTGAACGAGACTCGGAAAATGCTACAGCGATTACTAAGGAAGAAGTAAGGTTTGAAATGTTTGTAGGTCTGGAATATTTGAAGTAAACTGTGTGGTTTAGGTTTTGTCAGACGACGACGAAATCCAGCAAACAAGTGCCTACGAGGAGGAGAAAACGCTTCAGGTTAATTTAAATGAATTTTTTCTTTATTTGCAACTTTAGGAAGATAATTCTACTCGTTACGCCGATCTACGACCTGTAAAAGCTTCATGGACTCAATTGAGAGTGGTGTTGAGGTATAAATTACGTTTTAAATACATAAAAATAACGTTATTGTTTAGAAATTTCCTGAATTCGCAAATCAGAGGAATAATGACGCCGACTTTCAACTTGGGATTGTTGGTCAAATGCTTGGTTTGCTTTTTAAAATATTTACTAAACATTATTTGGCTTTAGGTGTTCAAAAAGATGAGGAGCAAGCGGAAATCGATTGTCTACACGATTCGATTATGATGGAAAGACATGGAGCCCATTCTGCTCAGAGAATCAGGCACGAAAGATGCTTCACGCCAGTGAACAAAGGTACTTTTGCGTTTTCAATGTTTTCGTTATGATTACTTCTAGATTTGCACCAATTGATGTTGGACAAAATGTTTTGATGCCAATTCCTTGTGTCGATCGACCCAAGATTGGACCACGAAATTTGATGGGAGTCGTCACAGGTACTTTTAAATTTATTTCTAAATGTAAAAAGAAATTCTAGCTGTAACTGATGGTTTTTACTCGATCGGGACACAAAATGGGCATCTTCGGCAAAAATTCACTAGGAATCAACTGGCTCCATGTGGAGCTGAATTCTTCTCGAACAATTCAATTCCGGACGGGGAGACATCGTTGAGAACTGCTGTTGGGGCAGCATCGATCTCTGGGAGCCAAGGTAAGCACATTTATTTGCACTTACAATCTTTCTTGTTAATCTTTCTTTTTTCTTTTTCCTTTTTCTTACAAATTTAAATGTTTTTACCTCAGCTAAAATATTATAATTTTAGGTCACGCTCATTGCTTGTGTCTGAGCGGATGTACGACCAATGGATGTGCTTGTCGAAAGAAGAGTCTACTTTGCAACTCGAGATGCCACCATGCAAGAAGTTGTACTAAAAAGTGATCTTTTTGTTTCTTGTTTTGACTCTTTTCAATTTCAGAATGACGCTTTCAGTAACATGCATTATGTGCGTAGTAAAAAGAGGTTTTGTTTAAGTTGATTGTTGTTTGGCTTTGTTTTTCATTTAGTTTGTTTGTTGTATCTTGAAATTCAGACAGTTGCTAACTAATTTTATTAATGTTGTTAATGGTTGTATTGCAGATAAAAATGAGTTTATGTCAATCAATCTTTTTAAAAACTAGTTTTTGATAAAAGGCTAACCAAGGCGCAACAATTGTGTAAGTGCCTTACAAGATGTCCGTCGATTAGAGGAATATCCCTTCAGTAATTATGTTTAATAAATTTGCTTAATTAGCATTAAAGTTGGTTAATTGGCATTTATC